AATTCCCGGTGTCCCACCGGACAAGTCCACCCCTGTAGCATACACCCTACAGTGCAAGTTTAGTGGGAAGTGGGGGAGGAGAGGGACACCCAGTTTTGGAGACAAAAATCTTCCACCTCTTGGAGAGAGTTTTGTCTTTTCCCCTCCCTTTATTGTCAACAAAGAGCCAGTTGCTTGTTTTGTCCAAAGAACTGGTTTCCTCCACTATTCCACAAAGCCTGATGGCAGTGCTCAGTGTTTTGTGATCTCTCCTGAGTATTTTGTGTTCTCTGCTTCCCTGAAGGCATGGACCCCTCCCCTTTCAAAATTCTGGGAAGTATCTGACAGCTGAGTGAGCTGCTCCTTTTGGGAAACAAACAAAAAAAGAAAATCATTGGAATGCTCCCGTTCTGCCCTGCTAGAAACACAGCAGCAGGCAGACTGCTGCTGCAGGGAGAATGCTGGAGAGACTGCCGGGCTGCTTTGACATTCCTCAATAGGGAAAGCTCACAGAGTTACTCATGATGCTGCTCCCAGCAGCTAATAATTCTGTGGGAGAACTCAGACAGAATCCCAAGAAGCACAGAGATCAGCTCTATTTTCCCACAACACTGCACTGCAGAATGCTTACCCACATTGCTTTGCTCTATCTGTAGACAGGGGAGCAAGCAATGTGGCCATGAAATGTTGACAAAGGGAGGCAGTAAAATCAGTTATACTGGTTTGCACTTTTGGCAACTTTTGCAAGTCGACAGCACTTTTGTCACTAAACCTTCCCATGTAGACATAACCTCAGAGGTAGGTCATATTAGTCTGTTTCTGCAAAACAACAAAGTCTCCGGTGACACTTTAAATAATAATGAATTTATTAGAGTATATGCGCTAATACGCCTATAAATTTGTTAGAATTTAAAGTGCCACTGGACTCCTTATTGTTTTTCCCTTATTTTTATGAGTACATAAAAATTTTTTTAAAAGTGAGATTTTTTTGTGAGGTTACGTGACCTTAGTAATGATCACCAGCATGTAAATGAGGAGTTTTGTTTTAGCTTCCCTCACTGGCTCATGATGTGGTGGCAGCCAGCAGTGCTTTCATTAAAGCAGGATCAGATTCCTTTGTGCTTCTTTTGTTCATTTCATCCCTCTTGTCTCCTGAGTTGTGTAGGATCTAGCTAAAAGAGTTTCTCTCAACCATTGAGGTGGTCAGAATTTTTTTTTTTAACAAAAAGGTTCTTAATGGTAAAGTGGCCTTTTCTTGAAACTTAAAAAGTTTGCAAAAAAACTACCTTGATTTTTAAAGAGATATCGTTTATTAATTGTTCATGATTTAATTGATTTTGTAATTGAAAACCTCACTGAAACTTTTATAAAAAGGGCTGTAAATTGGTTGTTTGATAATTACCTTGATTACAATTTTGATTAAAAAATAAAATTAATGAAGGAAAAAATCTTTTTCAAACCCTGCAAAATCAAAACAACTTTGCAATTTCAATTTTTCAATGTGATTTTTAATATTTTCGTGACTACCTTTACATAAGCTCAGCTAGGCAGTTAGAGCAGGTAACTAACAGAAAGCCCATCATATAATACCATATAGAGTACCCCATGATATAATATTAAAAACAGGGCATTTAACCTTAGTAGAAATGGAAGCATAATCACCATGTCAGAAAACAGACCTGATTCTGCTTCATTAAGAGAGCAATCGTGAGACTAGAACTATGTTTTCTGCTTCTGGGAGTCCAAATGGACTTTATTCTTCTCTCCAATATAAAAAGGGAGAGAATGCCAATGAGTTGCCTCTGATAAGTGAGAGAATAAGGCATAATATTTATTTTAGAGATACTCTAATGTTATTTCAATAACATTACTATCCCAGATTTGCCCTCTGAAACTCACCAGATGGGGAGACTTATCTTCTTCGCCAAATGTGTCCAGATCTCAGTCCTGTAGCACACTAGGCCCACTACTAGATTTGTGGTACAGAGGTCCGGCACCCTCTGGACCTGGCCAGTCCTGGATGGGGGATTTTGCCAGACCAAGGGAGGTCATTTCTGGACCCTCTGCTGCTGGACCCCCTGCCTGACCCACTGGCCTCCCGGCCAGTTCCTCACTTCCTGCTGGCCCCACTGCCCTGCCAACCCCACTGGACATCCATTGCTGCCCTGACTCTGGGACCTGCCAGGCAGCCATGCTAAGGCTTGGGGTCCCACCACGCTGCACTGTGGCTCCAGGATACACAGGGCAGCCATGCGCGCCATGCTGGAGATCCAGGACCCACCGGGCCTGGGCAGCCACACAGCACAGATCCCTGCCCTACCAGCTGCTCCAGGCAGCCATGCACATGTCTCCTAACCCCACTGGACAGAACTTCTGCCACACACTGATGGTGGGCTTGCTGCAGGCAAGCCATTGCCCTCGTGGCCCCGCAGGGATCCTTGCCACTGGCCCTCCATTGGGACTCTCTGGTCCTAGAACATCTGTGCCAGACGATGGATGTTGCCGGACCAGAGAATCCCAGTTAAAAGAGTTTCCATCTGCATCAGAATGACAGGTGGCAGAGGTCACATGAGGAATTAGTAAGTTCTCTAACCTGAGCAATAGACACATAGGGAAAGTTGGAGGACTGATGAGGTAAAAACAAAGGAAAGACAACATTTCCAAGTCCATCACTAGAATAATCAACCTTGCAAACTGAGGGCTTAAAAAAGGAAACCACATTTGTTTCTAGTGCAGGGCTACTCAACACATTTGTTTGCAACCTGTGGTTTGGATTTACACAGGTCTCAGCATGCGGTACATGGGTGGGGTCCTTTGAACATGGCCTCCACTGGGAACATGCTCCACAATGGCAAGGTATCTCCGATGCGGGATAGCATTGAAAGATGGAAGTGGATGGGCTGGCTGGAACAGATGGGTACAAGCTGTCAGCATTTCTAGACCCCAGGGAGGAGGTGATGTGAGCACCAGGGCATTGTGTGAAAGAAGCTATTTGCATATATATTTGCATGTATATGCAACCACACATAAGTTGCAGATCTCGGCATGTGCTGTGAGAATCATTGTGGCCCCCAGGGCTTCTAAAGTTGAGTAGCCCTGGTCTAATGTCTTAGGGGCCTTTCTGTTCTAACTTGCCTGCTGCATCTTGAGCTAAGACTTTCCAGCTACCATAGGGTGAGGGCACAGGTGAGCAGACTTTGCCTGAGAATCTACAAAGCTTCACAGGCCTTTTGAGGAAGCCCTTCTGTTGACACTCAAAGAAGTTCTTTCCCTCTAATTGCCAGACTCATTGCCAACAAAACAAAAATTTAAGTTGAAATGGGGAAAAGGATAAAGACTCACAAAAAGTCCTAAAGTGTGTCCCAGAAGGGCTAACATTGTATTTCAACTCTATTCCACGGTAAAAGGCCCCTCCATCTCTCTGACAAAGAAAGGAAATAAGAAAGAGCACATGCCATGTAAATTTAAATGAAGCCGCAATCATTTAAATCGCGGCTTCATTTGACTTTGCCAAAACAACAAATCTACATGGCTCCGTACCCTTAGAGGCCTTTCAGGGGTAAATTAGAGCTAAATAACAGCACAGAACACTGAGATCCAGGACTGGTGTCTGTAAACAAACTTTGTGGGTCTGCGGGAAACTTAACCATACCCACGATAAGTGGACATCCAGCTAACTAAAATCATGCCGGACCACAGATGTTGCCAGACAAGAGTGTGCTGGACTAGAGAGAATCAACTGTACAAACCCTGGGCCTAAGACTCCTCCATCTGAGTTTAATTTGAACACTGCAAAATCAAGAATTTTAATGTTTTCGTCAGAAGCAGTATAAAATAAGCACTCAGCTCTGCTTTTATAGTAAGGCAGACCCAGTTAACAGATCTGCAGTTGTGTGACCACTCCTCTACTCTCCTGTGCACATACAGTATGCTCACAGATGGCCTACTATTTTCAAGTATCAGAGGGGTAGCCGTGTTAGTCTGGATCTGCAAAAGTGACGAGGAGTCCTGTGGCACCTTATAGACTAACTGAAGTGTAGGAGCATAAGCTTTCGTGGTCAAAGACCCACTTCATCAGATGCATGTCATGTATTACATGACTCCTCTACTCTCCTGTGCACATACAGTATGCTCACAGATGGCCTACTATTTTCAAGTATCAGAGGGGTAGCCGTGTTAGTCTGGATCTGCAAAAGTGACGAGGAGTCCTGTGGCACCTTATAGACTAACTGAAGTGTAGGAGCATAAGCTTTCGTGGTCAAAGACCCACTTCATCAGATGCATGTCATGTATTACATGTGGTCCTTGGTATACTGTTTGAATGTAGCCTTACCTCCTATGTGGAGTCTGCTTCCCTGCCATTTTAAAATGGGGAGTAATATTTGTTAAACTCCCAGAAACAATGTGGGAATTCATCAGTTCAATTTATGACATGCATCTGATGAAGTGGGTCTTTGACCACGAAAGCTTATGCTCCTACACTTCAGTTAGTCTATAAGGTGCCACAGGACTCCTCCTCGCTTCAACTATTTTCAATGAGCCTTGCAAAGATTATCGTGCCTTGACCATTCTGGGATACTCCACAGTGTCTCACAGAACCTCTTCTCATCTGTTACTATTACTGTCCACCCATCCATCCACCCACCATGATATATATCTTCCCAACTGGAAACTGATTCTCTCTCTCTCTCTCTCTCTCTCTCTCTCTCACACACACACACACACACACACGTGAAGTAAACACAATTAGATTCATGTATCACTAGCATTACCCTTTTTTCTTCTTTAAAAGAATGTAAGGAATTTATCAGTAGGCATTAGTACTGAGGACAAACAACTGAAAAATATGAAAGGAGGGCATTTTACACAGAACTGAAAGAAAAGGATTTGGCTGTCCCCCCCCCACACACACACACACACACTCCTCCCCCCCCAGGAAAGTAGCTCTTCTTTTCACATTGCACGGATGTGCTTATGGATAATATCACCAAAAGATGTGCTCTGCCTGATCTTTTTTCCAGATTAATGCAATCAATAGTGAAGATGGCCAACAGGAGCAGGAGGAGGAAGAGGAGGAAGATGGAATTTATGTGGCCATGCTGAGCTCAGACCCTCATGTCACCTCTTGTAAGTCATATTGTCTGAAAGGTTTCAAGTATTGTGGCCTTAAAACTGTGTTGTGCTGACTGAGAAATTGTGATATTTAGAGACTAGTCTGCAGGGGATTGCATATACCTCCATGAGGACAAAGTGATGGTTAAATGCTCAACTTTAACTTCTGGATTTCCTGACATTTTCGTGTTTAGCTGTGTGAACTAAGGGCTAAATAGTGCCACACTGGTCTATGGGGGAATGTACCTTTTGTTACACTCTTCCAAGGATTGCAACATGCCTTTCCCTTAGTGGTCACTGAGATCCACAGGCTGATGTGGAGAATGGCAGTCCCATTTCTCTCCGCCCACCCACCTATATTTGTGGTACAGAAGGGCAGTGACGACACTTACAGTTAAGATTTTGCATGGAAGGCCATTTGGGAAGCTCTTTTCACCTTCCTCTTTTCATATCTGTAAAAATGTTGGCCTCGCCCTCAATGTTTCAGTAGTGTTAGCTGAAATGTGCAAAGCAGCCTAAGGGAGTTCTGCAGGAGCTGCAGGGTCTCTTGCATTTAGCAATGACACTTATTCCACAGATCCATGATAAAAGTGTAAGAAAGGCCAGCCTATATTCTTTTTGCATTTTGCTGAATACTTGATATCTTCCCAGTTGTCTCACCTCCTATATTAGCTTGCGGCTCCTTACAAGCTAAATGATGAGCCTCTTCCTCCAACAAACCTAGACAGTATGAAGCCATAACTGGATTTCAAGAGCTAGACATTTTGCTAGCACTATTAGGACATGTCTACACTAGGAAATTATTTTTAAATAACTTATTTAGAAATAATAATTCCTGAAATCGCTTATTTTGAAATAACGTGCCTACGCTACAGGGAAGCCTCAAAATTAGTCCAAGGCAGGCTCCCCTAATGTGGATGCGCTACCTCGATTTAGAGCCCCAGGATGCACTGGGAAGAAATTACTTTAAATGACCCTGGGGAAGAGCTATTTTGAAATAGCTAGTTTGGCGTTATTCCTCGTGGAATGAGGTTTACAGAAATCAGAATAAGTCATCCATTATTTTGAATTTATTTTGAAATAATGGAATTGCTGAGTAGATGCTCCCACTGTTATTTCAGAATAACAGCCATTATTCCAAAATAACGCTGCTGTGTAGACGCACCCTTGTGGAGGTATAAAGCTTCCTTTCACACTTATGTACTACAGTCCCCAACCCCATTCACTGAATCAGGGGAACAGAATTTGGCTTTTTTTGCAAAGAGAAAAAATAATGATGCAGAGGTATAACTGTTACATTTAGATGCATTTATCTTTCTGCCATGCATGAGGCAGTGCACAGTAGTATTTCTGAAGGGAGGTTCTACCTTTTTTAAAAAAAAATACCAGAAATGGAAAAAAGAAAGAAAGAATTATTGGAAAAGTTTTATCTCAACCACACGCTACGTGAAACGGCTTTCTTAAAATATTAACATAAATTGTGAGTTAAAAGTGAAACATTGAGAGGGCTGGCAGAACTGAAACATATTCAAGTTAAATGTTTCTAGTATTGGAAATAATGGAAGGTCTTTGTAATGTTTATTAGATAGCCAAAGAATATATACAATTTTAAAAAGGTTATGGAAGGAATAAGTTACATTGCTTCTCCCTTGTTATTTCAGCTAGATCCTTATGCTGTACACGATGCAGAAAATTTACTGTTCTGTATTTCTCCACTATATATTTTTTTTATTCCAAGGGCCACTAAAGCCATAAAGCTCGGTACAAATCACATCCCCCCAGGGAAATATTTATTTCATTTTAAAGAATTTTAAATAATAAGCAGCCAAACTACAGTATATTAAAAATAAGTGTTAAAGGTACATGAGTTCCAGAATATTTTACTAACTCTTGTGTGCTATTCTGCATAGAAAATCAGGCAATATGGACTGTAGCAAAAGGGTAATGCATGTGATTTCACTCCACCAATAACTCTGAAAAACCTTAATGTTATTGTATACATGAATATGTTGAATACTGAGGTAACAAGATATAATGAAAGCTTCCACTGTTCATTTAGTAAATATTTTATTTTGTTCATAAAAAAATTATTAGCAGTGCTGTTACTTCTATAGAAATCTGTGAAACACACAATTCTTCCAGATGGCAAATTTTAATGAAACAATGCATTCTTTAGCATTAACAGACAAACAGAGTCCAGGAGACCAGTGCAGAGACAGACAGAAAGCTTCAGAGGGGTCAGGGAAGAAGGAGGAGGAGGAGGAGGAAGAAGAGAAAGAGGAAGCCGAAGAAGACATGGGAATGGAAGAAAAGGAAGATGAAGATAATAATTTAGAGGAAAGTTCATACCCCTTTGATGACAGCAATGACAATTTATACGCGAGCATACCTGATGATGATCCTGAAGCAGATGGAAGAGACTCCTTGTTCTCGGACAAACCACCCCTACCTCCTCGAGAAGCACCTATCACTATAAAACAAAATGATCTTTATTGCTTATCACAAGGTATAGTATTGGCAAAAAGGTAGTGTTCACCATACATATATAGTACTTGTTAAATGGTGCTGTAGAGATTACATATGAATGTTGCTAATGGTATTTCGCTAGACATTAAGGCCCCAATTCAAGAACACAAAAAAGTGCTTCATTGCTTTTCTGAGTCAATGCTGAAGTCACCACGTACTACAGATAGTGTAGTGGTGGTAGACTGTGAAGCATTGGTTCCAGACAGAGATTTCTTCCTTCCACTCATCTCAGAGAAACATAAAATGATACCTGGTGCATAGGATTAAAAGAAAGGTTTTAGACACAATACTGAAAATGTTAATTGAATGACATTTAAAATTGTTTCCTTTTAAAAGTATTAAAGAGCATACTGATTGCAGCTTGCAATGCCACAGGTAAAATTAATGCAATTTACCTTATTCACTGTAATAGGGCAAAATACCCAAATATTGTATTAAGCATACATTTTAGCCAGTATGTAGTATAAATGTCGTCATCTGTTGAATTGTAGATTGGACCATGATCTTGATATTCCTGTTTGTGATTGGTTGACATCATGACCATAATACGCTGACTGGCATTGTCACCGGGATTTTTTCAAAACCTGACTCATGGAACAAAAATCTAAAATTTGGTAGTTTGCATTCCCCCTATGGAAAGATTTTAAAAAGATGATGCAGTGGCACTTCTAGAAGGGTGATAATAGTTTTTCTATTGGAAAAAAATGGGAAAGAGCACATCCTTAAATGCCAAATATAGATGCTGAGCTAATAACAAAAAACAGGTTATCCTTTACAGGCACTATCTGTAAGTATCCAGATAAGTCCATTCTGAATTTGCTGCACAGATGTTTATCTTTAATAGATGATGAAACTATGAGAACTCTGACTGTCATCTCTGGCTCTTTTTTGCGTATGAGTCAGTTTAGGTCCCGCTGTGAATGCTTTTGTGAATGCTTCCAATACACAAAAGAGCAGATTCTTTTTCTAGCAGTATCCATTGGAGCTGTGCATAACCCTATGCTGCCTCATGCTTCCATATGAGGACAGAAAGGATAGGATGCCCATGACCATCTCTTATTTTTGTTTTACCACCCATGGCAGCGAGACAGAATCTAGTGGTGTCCAGCCTGATGATAACTCTCGTTCTATGTCTTCATTTAAACTTCTGAAAAATGTCAGAACAACCTTCAGTCTCTTATATCTTGGACTGATTTGCCCTTGGCTGGATGTAAATTCTTCAACCTAACACCTTCGGTCTGAAAACGAAAACACATGCATACACACCCCCATACACTCATGCACATCATAATAGACTACCATGTAAAAGAACCTTAACTTAGCGGGTTCACAACCTATAGGCTTCCGACTGTGCCCAACAAGTAATGGACTAATTCCACTTAAAGATGAGCACAGCAGATGCCTTTTCTGACAGGCTTAATTCCACATTCTGATTTGCCTTTCACTGCTTGAGCCCCAAAATCATGAGAAACAAAACTCAAACCCAGTCTCTTACAACAATCCATGAGAGTGGCATTGGACCCAGAAGATCTGGGCTAAGACTTCCATAGCAGCCACTGGCGAGACAGTAGACAGCCGAGGACCAGTGGGAGTGGGACCCATAGGCACAAATCCAGTTGGCATTGTCCCTCCAAGATCTCTCCTCATTATCAATCAGCAAGGTAGCCACCTCAGCGTTGATACCAGTGCTGAGTTATTTCAAAGCATTCCATCAGCTCCTGATATGGATCGCAGAGACACTGGGGATCCAGACTTCAGTATATCTGAACATTTTTACAAACTGTTCATTTTCCTATCTTCACCTTCCCCATAAATGTGGGATTGCTAGACCTACCACGAACTTTATGGCAACTGCTAGCCACTGTATAACTAACAACAAAATAGATCAGGAAAGATACCAGGTGCCTACTTCCAGGTTAAAGTATTTTTATTCTCATCTTAATCCCAACCTCTAGCGGTCTCAGTCATCCAAGAAAAATTCCATGTGGCCAGAAATATTCATAAAGATCCCAAATCATTGAATCTGCTATCTGTACATCACACCGGTGAGAGGTGGCTAATTACCAAGCTTTCCTTAAAAAAATATGACGCACTTGGGACTGAGCAATGCCATTTAACAACAAGCTGCCTCACAAGGCTTGAGAGGAATTTAAAGACATTTGAAGAGGTAGACAATTGATGGCAAATATGTCCCTGGCAATGGATGTGGCTAGATCTACAGACAATGTGGCATTATTGAGAAGGGCCTCTCAAGTTTAGGGAATTCCTCGTGAATTGCAAGCCTTAACTGAGGATTTGCCAGTCTCATTCTGGACATTTCCAGAGCTCTATTTTACTATTTAAAGAAGAGTAAGACCTTCCAACACTCTCCCTGTTTTTATGTGTATTGAAAGGCAACATGACCCCTCCATGGAGGTTCTCCATGTGGATTACTCAATGCATTTGTACTTGTTACTAGCTGGCTGTTGTGTCTCACATGTGAACATCAAGATTCACTTTGCCAGAGCTCTAGTGACCAAGTCAGCATTTGTCAGAAATGTGCCCGTCTCAGAGACCTGCAGGCCCACTAACGGGGGTTGGGAGGCAAAAGGGTCAACTGCTCAGGTCCTTGCAATTGAAAAGGGCCCAGAAGTGAGAAGGGGGACAGAGTGATGCCATCTGGGCAGTGCTGAGGACTAGCAGCACCCAGCCCCGCCCTTTCCACCCAAGCCTCCACCCGTTTCGGGAGTGTGGGGTCAGGCATCCCCCTGCCTTGCTCAGGATCTCAGCAAGTTTTTTGGCCATCCTGTAGATTAATAAGTCAGCTACATAAACAAACACACTCACCTTTAAACATTATGCAGTTGACATGGAGCCAGGATAGAAGCCAAGTTCTGAAGAGCAGTTCTATATTTATTTGATTAGCACAGGTGATATTCCTCATATCCACTCAGGGGTTGCTAAAACAAATTGCAGGGTGGGGATGCTGAGAGCCATTGTACCAAACTGTAAACTCCTAGGGTATGTCTACACTACCCCGCTAGTTCGAACTAGCGGGGTAATGTAGGCATACCACACTTGCAAATGAAGCCCGGGAAATTCAAATCCCGGGCTTCATTTGCAAATGCGGTATGCCTACATTACCCCGCTAGTTCGAACTAGCGGGGTAATGTAGGCATACCACACTTGCAAATGAAGCCCGGGATTTGAATTTCCCGGGCTTCATTTGCATAAGCGGGGAGCCGCCATTTTTAAAACCCAGCTGGTTCAAACCCCGTGCAGCACGGCTACACGGGGTTCGAACCAGCGGGGTTTTAAAAATGGCGGCTCCCCGCTTATGCAAATGAAGCCCGGGAAATTCAAATCCCGGGCTTCATTTGCAAATGCGGTATGCCTACATTACCCCGCTAGTTCGAACTAGGAGGGTAGTGTAGACATACCCCTATATAGGATAGAAACCATTTCAAGCCAGGGAATACGGCATCACCCTTAATTCCAGAGTCTAGGTACCCACTGTACAGAAGTAGATATGACTTGCCAATCGCATACAGTGAGATTTACACTGGCACATGCTCAAAGAAAAAATAAAATAAAGCATACTTCTTTGAGGGAGCCGCTGCATATTCCTATTTGTGGGGTCAAGATGCCTACATCCAGGACTGGTAGATTCACTGGGCCCTAGGCAAGGTAGTGGGAGTTGGAGGTTCAGCTCCAAAGCCCCCAGAAGGGGCAGGGCCTCAGGCAGAAGGAATAGGCCTGGGGACTAGCCTCCACCACCCAGCCCTCAATGCCACCCAGACCTCAGTGATGGTGTCCTGGAGCCCCCAACCCTTTTAAGTTGCCAGTCCTGGGGCAGCTGCTTTGTTTGCCCCCACCTGTCAGCAGCTCTGCCTGCATCACAAACTTCTGGAACGTTCTGACAAGCAGCATTTGTGGGGCTCCTCGTCCCTTCCTTTTCCACCATTCCTGGAAGGTTCTGAGGGTGTAAAAGTGGGAATTGACCCCCAACCACCACTCAGCTCCTTCCATTACTTTGGGAATTCTTGCCCTGAGACTCCAAAGAAGCAAGGAAGATGGGCAGGGAGTGTGAACATGCAGAGGCTCCTGCATGTAGAACATACATGTAGAACTCTGGTTACAGGTACATAACCTTCATTTCCTCTTCGAGTGGTGTCTGCATATTCCTGCTTGTGGGAGTTAACAAGCAGAACAACCCCAAGGAAAGAGGACTCATGAATTCTAGGTAAATAAGGATACCAAAATGGCCAGAACAAGCATTAGATCTGGACACCAAGTCAAGAGTGAATAGATCGATCTTCTCTCTCCCCCAAGATAAGTTTTAATTGAAAGGTTGGGGGTTTTTTTCTGAAAACAACATATGTAGCTGCAGAATCTGTCAAATTGCATGCTGTGATGAAGACAGCATGAAGGCATGCTGCGGACATGGCCTTTGTCCTCCCTCAGTGATTCAGCACCCACTCTCAGGCTTAAAGCTCCCCAGCTGTTGTTTTCGGGATCGAGACCCCCATCTCTCTCCTTTCTGAGTGGGCTATTTCTAGACTGCACAGTTCCCTGCCTTCACAGCACATTTCCCAGCACTAACGGGTTGCCCAAAGGCATCGGCTGACTTTCTCTTTGGAAATGGTTAAGAGGCCTTTCCTGTGTAAGTCTGCTTTATTCTTAAGGTAAAAAACAGTACAGAGAAAGCATATTAAAAACCATAAAATAACCTACACACATGAATAAACTTACTGTCGTTCTCACTCCTAACATGGATTCTGGTAGGATTATTCCTTCAACCGCCATCCTTCCCCAGACCTACAGGATTCCTTGTGATCTTCATCATAGCTTCAGCTCAAAACAAACACCCAGGACTCTATGATCTCCATAGTCCAGTCTTTCCAGCTCTGCCCTAAAGATTGAGGCCCTCTGTGGAGTTGTGTTTTGTCTGGATCAAGAAGAAGGCTCTGAGCTGTATGAAACTAGGTTCTTCCAAAAAGT